TGTTGTAGGGACACTGGGAGGCGGGAAGAGACTGTAGGTGAAGACCGTGGGTAGGCAAACTAAGGCCCGGGGGCCAGATCCAGCCCAATCGCCTTCTAAATCCGGCCCATGGATGGTCCGGGAATCAGCGTGTTTTTACATGAGTAGAATGTGTCCTTTTATTTAAAATGCACCTCTGGGTTTTTTGTGGGGCCTGCCTGGTGTTTTTACATGAGTAGAACGTGTCCTTTTATTTAAAATGCATCTCTGGGTTATTTGTGGGGCATAGGAATTCGTTCTTTTAGAGAGAGAGAGAGAGAGAGAGAGAGAGAGAGAGGGAGGGAGAGAGAGAGCGGCCCCCCACAAGGTTTGAGGGACAGTGGACCGGCCCCCTGCTGAAAAAGTTTGCTGACCCCTAGTGAAGACCATCGATTTCATGATAAATTCTCATCTGCATGATTTTGTGCAGTAAACGCTGGGTATATTTCTGGAAAAAAGCATCTTAACAATATTTATTTTTAAAAAACAACAACAACACTATGGCCTTTTAAATGGGTTATTTTAATACTATGTTCTGTATTTTTGTGTTTTTATACTGTGAACCACCCTGGGACCCCTGGAAGAAAGGCAGTATATTAAACAAACAAACAAACAAACATTATATTCTCCCCTAGAATTTGGCCACACATTTGGCTGGGTTGGTGCCTCATAGCTGAAGGCATGTTGGATCATACTGGTTCTGTCTGACCCACATAGTAGAATATAAACCAATGCTGGAAATCACATGTGGGGAGGGTGTCAGTTGTGCTCACGTTCTCCTTGCAGGGGCATCCAGTTGAGCACCATGAAAATAGAGACAAGCTGGGCCTGATGTAGCAGACATTTCTCATGTTCGTATACACAGAGGTCCTTCTTTCCACGTACTTTGCAATAGCGCATCAAGAGGAGAGCACTGCTGCCTTCCTTTCCTGGGACACTTCATCCACTCCTAGCTGAGGGAGGATGAGAATCGGCCCAGGACCCAAGAAAACCCCTAATTCAGACAAGTCCCCAAGAGTTTCTGCTGTCACTGAGAACAAATGCCTCAGATTGTTTCAATGCTGCAGTGAAACTCAAACCTGCCTTATCAAATGGCACTGCAAGGAAGACCCCCGGCTGTGATGATTGGAGTATCAAAGGCTTCGGGCCTCTGAAAGCAAGGAGCCAGCCTTCAAGTGGGGAAGGAGGAATGTGGGAGTAAACAAAGGGGCGAGCGTGTAAAGGAAACCAAGTCAGATTGCAGGGCAGGGTCAGCTCATTCAGCAAATGGCAGGCCGAATTTCCGCAGCTGGAGGAGACCTCTGCAGCAATCGAGGTATCCACTGGCACGAGCCTGCTTTCAAGGTGCAAATCAGTGATTCCCAAACTTTTTCTGGACCACCCGTCCCCATTGGTTCCACGAACTTTGTCCCCAGTGCCCACTCCCCTACAAAAAAAGCATTATTCGAAATAGTGGTTTGCACAAATCCCACTTGCAAATACAGTCTCAGAGCAGCACACTGTTAGGGAACAACATATATGTCATTTGGGGTTTCTCATTTTCCCAATCTTAGATGATAAGTGTTAGGTAAAGGTAAAGGGACCCCGACCATTAGGTCCAGTCGTGGCCGACTCTGGGGTTGCGGTGCTCATCTCGCTTTATTGGCCAAGGGAGCCGACGTACAGCTTCCGGGTCATGTGGCCAGCATGACTAAGCCGCTTCTGGCGAACCAGAGCAGCGCACGGAAACGCCGTTTACCTTCCCGCCGGAGCTGGAAGGTAAAAAGCACTTTGATGTGCTTTTGAACTGCTAGGTTGGCAGGAGCAGGGACCGAGCAATGGGAGTGGTTCCTATTTATCTACTTGCACTTTGACGTGCTTTTGAACTGCTAGGTTGGCAGGAGCAGGGACCAAGCAAAGGGAGCTCACCCCATCGCAGGGATTCGAACCGCTGACCTTCTAATTGGCAAGTCCTAGGCTCTGTGGTTTAACCCTCAGTGCCACCCGCATCCCATGATAAGTGTTCTGTATTGTTTATTAAATTTCTACATCCACCCTTCTTCCAAGAATCACAGGGGGCAGTTGAACAATATAAAAACAAAATGAAAATGCCTAACATAATGGCAAACAAAACAATGCTATCTCACACACAAAGTTTGAAAGGCCTGGAAGAGGAATGTTTTTGACTGGTACCTCAAGACATGTAATGAAGGCGTCAGGCAAGCATCCATGGGGGGAGCATTCCACAAACAGGGAGCCACAGCAGAAAAGGCCAGTTCTTGTTTTGCCACCCTCCAGACCTCTCCTGGAGCAGGCACATGAAGAAGGGCCTCAAATGATGATCCCAGAGTCCAGGTCAGTTCATATGGATGAGAGGCAGTCCTTGAGGTATTGTAGTCCAGAGCCATTTAAGGATGTATAGCTCAAAACCAGCACTTTGAATTGGACCCAGAAACTATTTGGCAGTTGATGCAGTCGGACCAGGATCAGTGTAATATGCTCACACCATCTTGCTCCCATGAGCAATGCGACCACTGAATTTTGCACCGTTGGCAGTTTCCGAAACATTTTCAAAGGCAGCCCTATGTATAACGCATTGCAGTAATCTAACCCAGTGGTTACCAGAGCATAGACAACAGTAGTTAGGCTATCCCTGTCCAGATAGGGGCATAGCTGGGCCACCAGCTGAAGCTGATGGAAGGCACTCTGGGCCACTGAAGCCACCTGAGCACATTTTCAACCCTGTCCTCGTGAAAATTCACCAGCAAATTAGCAAACATTTTGACTACTATACGCAATTTTGGCAAACCATTTCCCCTGGACTAATGCATTTTGCTGTGTGATTTTTATTAACATGTGCATTTTTACACAAGTTTCCCCTTGCATATGGAACATTTTTGTACACGTTATTGGGCAGGACGGGTGCATCGCAAATTTCGAAGATGTGCGAGGCCACTGGTGATGGTTGTACATCCTTAGGCTTAGTTACAGCAGAGTAAGGATGAGTAACATTTGACCCTGCAGATGTTGTTAGTCTCCGGCTCCAATCATCCCTGACCCCTGACTATACTGTCTTGGGTTGATGGAAGTTGGTGTGCAGAATTTCAGCCTCCTCCTCCTCTTCTCTGCTTTCGACCCTGGGATTCTTTTTGTCCTGGAATTATTTGTTTGCCTTGTTTCTGGGCTGTGTTTGTATCTTGCCAGGGTGGAGCAGGGGAATTGTATGTTTTGGGTGCAGGTTTTAATTAAAAAATTAAGCCCCCTTTTTGGTTATTGAAAAATGTAGGATGATGGAGATAATGATGAAAGTTGTGGCGATAAGAACAACTTGATGATGATATTGTGAATGGACTTTTCTTTTGCAGTGGATGAAAGGCTTCATGGTGATGCTCTAATGGTACAGTGGCACCTCTGGTTGCGAATGGGATCCGTTCCAGAGGCCTGTTCACAACCTGAAAAGAATGCAACCCGTGTCTGTGCGTCTGCGCGGGTCCCGATTCGTCGTTTCTGCACATGCGCGTGACGTCATTTTGCGCATGCGCGAGCGGCAAAACCCGGAAGTAACCCTTTCCGATGCTTCTGGGTCGCCGCAGGATGCAACCTGAAAACACACAACCTGAAGCAAACGTAACATGAGGTATGACTGTACTGAAGAACTTCCTTTTACATCCTCACAGAATGGCATGACTTTGCCCAGGCAGACTTTTCCGTATCTGACTCATTTTCGCCTGAGAACATACCTGTGCAATTTCCCATAAGGATTACACAAGCCGGCTTACGAAACGTAATTATTGTTTTTAAAAAAATGCTACCCGGCGTGCCTCTCTCTCGATCTTTCATTCACAAAACTGCTGTGTGTAAGCTTGTGGTTGCTGAGCTCCTTGGATAAACCTCTTACAGTAATTCTCACCACAATGCACAAGGTGCACTGGGAGATTGGAAGGAACTTGTTTCTTTCCGTTGGTAACCACAGGACTTTCTCTGAGGCCTTTTTCTTAGTGATTCCTAGAAAAAGAGGGGTGTGTGTTTGTGTGTGTAATAGGGGGTGAGCAGAACACCCTTTCTCCCTGGTTTGCCACACATCCAGACCCAACTGATAAAGAAGAGTGGTTTTCAAACCCTACCTTCTCAGAATTCTTTCCCCACCAACTTGTCTGCTGAAGAATCCCAAATAATTTTTTTGCCACGGGACTCTTGGATATTGCCAAGATTGAGGGCATGTGCCTGGGGAAGGAAGCCCATCTAGGAGAAAGAAAACTCTGATCCAAAACCTCTGGCTTATTTGCGTCTTTTCCAAGATCTTGCGATTCTCTTTGTAATATTAGTCAGATCAATCTCCACAGCTCGGCTCCCCTTCCAGGCTGCAGTCGGGGCTCTTTTGTACTCTGTGCCAAATGAAACGAAAATATTGTGCCATTGTAAACGTGCGTTCTGCCACTTGTATAAATTACAGGATTCATCCGTCTAATTTTGTGCATTAGTTTATTCTGCAACATTTGCTATTTGGAATCGTTTCGTTGATTTCCCTTAGGCTGCAATTCAGTGCTCACTTACCTGGGGGCAATCCCCCTTGAACTCAATGGCACCTACTTTTCCATAGACTTGTGTAGGATCGTGCTGCTAGCCTTCAGTTTCGTTTCGTGGGGAGGGAAAGTCCTGCTGTCTACTCAGAAGTAAGTCCTATTGAATTGAGTGGGGGCTCACTCCCAGGTAAATGGATCAGGATTGCAGCCTAAGTGTGATGTAACAGTTTGAGTGTTGGACTAGGACCTGGGAGAGCCGGGTTCAAGTCAGCCATGAAGCTCACTAGGTGACCTTGGGCCAGTGACATCCTCTCAACCTAACCTACCTCACAGGGTTGTCATGAGGCTGAGACGGGCAGGAGGAGAACCATGTACACTACCTTGAGATCCTTGGAGAACAAAGATGGCGGACAAATGTAATAATAAAATAGCTAGGCCAAAATGTTCGGGCTAGAGGACACAACATGAAAATTCAGATTTGGGCCTGAGCTCAGGGGGAGAGAATCTGCTTTGAAAGCAGAAGATCCTAGGTTCAACCCTTGGCAGATCCAGGCAGGGTTCCTGGTTTGGAACTCTGGACAGCTGCTGCCAGTCCGTGTAGGCAATACTGAGCTAAATGGGCCAATGGCCTGACTCAGGATAAGGTACCTTTCTGAGTTCCTTTGTTCCCACATAAGAGCCTGCCTGCCTTATTTATTTATTTATTTATTTATTTATTTATTTTACCTCGTCCATCTGGCTGGGCTTCCCCAGCCACTCTAGGTGGCTCTCAACAAACAACAACAACAATGAGATAAAACATCAAACATTATAAACTTCCCTAAACAGGGCTGCCTTCAGATGTCTTCTAAAAGTCAGATAGTTGTTTATTTCCTTGACATCTGGTGGGAGGGCGTTCCACAGTCACCACTGAGAAGGCCCTCTGCCTGGTTCCCTGTAACTTGGCTTCTCGCAGTGAGGGAACCGCCAAAAGGCCATCAGAGCTGGACCTCAGTGTCTGAGCTGAACGATGGGGGTGGAGACACTCCTTCAGGTATATAGTGGTACCTCTGGATGCAAACGGGATCCATTCTGGAGCCCCGTTCACATCCTGAAGCGAACGCAACCGGCATCCGTGCATCTGCACGTGCGCGGGTCGCAATCCGCCACTTCTGCTTATGTGCATGACGTCATTTTGAGCGTCTGCGCATGCACGAGTGGCGAAACCCAGAAGTAATGCACTCCGTTACTTCCGGGTCGCCGTGGAGTGCAACCCGAAAATATTCATCCAGAAGCATATTTAACCCGAGGTATGACTGTACTGGGCCAAGACCATTGAGGGCTTTAAATATCATCACCAACACTTTGTATCGTGCTCAGAAACGTACTGGGAGCCAATGAAGGTCTTTCAGGACCGGTGTTATGTGGTGTCTGCGGCCACTCCCAGTCACCAATCTAGATCCCCCTAAGGGTTCAGATAGTGATTTTATAAACTCCTGGCACCTCTCCCTTGCCTTTTCTCTAAGCTAAGAAGTCCCAAACGCTGCAGGCTGTCTTCATAGAGGGGCCACTTCATCCCCCTTGATAATTTCGGTGGCCTTTTTCTGAACCTTTCCAGAAGCATGACCGTCCTCCGCCTGCCCCAGCATCCCTGTGCATGTAATTAAACTACCGCATGCCCATGTGCAATGAGCATGTTTATGGGGAAGGTGTACAGGAGAGGGATGCGCTCAGTAACAACCGGCCATGAATTACCTGACAACAAGCAAGGCGACAATCCATCTCTGTCAGTGTATCGGTTACAGGGAAGCATCTGCTAGAACAATCTATCATAGCTAGAGGAGCCTGGTAAACATGGGGGTGGGAGTCTGGACCTAATCTGCTGTACGCATCAGAGGGAAGTTTTTGAGCAGGGATCTCATCTCCCAGGGATGTTCTTGAACTACTTCGTCCTGCATGTGTGTTGCTAAAGGACAGAGTTGGCCATGGTAAAGGTAAAGGTAAAGGGACCCCTGACCATTAGGTCCAGTCGCGGAGTGGTACCTATTTATCCCGCCGGAGTGGTACCTATTTATCTACTTGCACTTCGACGTGCTTTCGAACTGCTAGGTTGGAAGGAGCAGGGACCGAGCAACGGGAGCTCACCCCATTGCGGGGATTCAAACCGCTGACCTTCTGATCGGCAAGTCCTAGGCTCTGTGGTTTAACCCACAGTGCCACCCATGTCCCTACCCCATGCTTAAGAAACCAAGGGTCAGTTGCCTCAATGCTGGGCTGCCACTGTGCACTCTGCATGGGGCTGTCTTTGGAAAATGCTCAGAAGCTTCAGCTGGTCCAGAATGCTGCAGCCTAGTCAGGGCCAGCCAGCTCTGGTGAGGTGAGGTGAGACGACCGCCTCAGGCAGCAGGATCCATCAGATCCCATTGTCAATCTTTCTCCCCTTTGCTCCTGATAGAGATCTTCCCTGACCTGCTTCTTCCCTGGTGGGGAAGATGTAGAGGCAGCATTTGGGACTCTTGTCTCTGGTGCCAAAATGCACCTAGCTGTCGACTGGAGACGTTATTTGGAGCATTGCAATGGCTTCACTGTTTGCCCTTCTGCTTCTGGGTCCAATTCAAACTGATAGTTATAGGTAAGGTAAAGGACCCCTGGATGGTTAAGTCCAGTCAAAGGTGACTGTGGGGTTGCGGTGCTCATCTCACTTTCAGGCTGAGGGAGCCATCGTTTGTCCACAGACAACTTTCCAGGTCATGTGGCCAGCATGACTAAACCCCTTCTGGTGCAACGGGACTCCATGACAGAAGCCAGAGCACACAGAAATGCCGTTTACCTTCCCGACACAGCGGTACCTATTTATCACCTATTTATCTACTTGCACTGTCGTGCTTTCGAACTGCTAGGTTGGCAGGAGCAGGGACAGAGCAACAGGAGCTCACTCCGTTGCAGGGATTTGAACCGCCAACCTTATGATTGGCAAGCCCAAGAGGCTCAGTGGTTTAGACCACAGTGCCACCCGCATCCCTGCACTGCTAGTTATGTCCACCGAGGAACTGCTTGGGAGCAAGAAGACACAAGGACCATCTTCTCCCGTGTGAGCCTGTCCACACACTAGGATGTCCTGGAGAGCTTCTCCCTTTCATCCCTCCACAAGGTAGGAAGTGCCCTGCTAGGTAAAACCAAAGGTCTCCTCTAGTCCAGCTTCTTGTCTCCCAAAAAACCTGACCTATGGGAAGCTCCCAATGCCCTCAATGACTTTCTCCCCACTTCTGCTCCCCAGCAACTAGGATGGCTTAGAGATGTGCTGCCTCCAATATTGGAGGTCGATAAATAGCTCTCAAGACTGGGCTGCGTTTGGCTGGAATGTGGGACAGGGCTTGCTCAGCTGCAGCTTGTCAGCTCAGGTGGCTTTCAAAGAGGATTAGACAAATTCACGGAGGATGAGACTTATCGACAGCTACTGTTCCTCCACTGTCAGAGTCAATATTCTTCTGAATACCAGTAGCGGGGAGTCTTCAAAGAATCGTAGAGTTGGAAGGGACATTGAGGGTTATCTAGTCCAACCTTCTGCAATGCAGCAATCTTTTGTCCAACATGGGGCTCGAACTCACATCACTGAGATTCAGAGCCTCATACTGACTGAGTCACAAGTACAGTGGTACTTCTGGATGTGAACGGGATCCGTTCCGGAGCCCTGTTCGCATCCTGAAGCGAATGCAAACTGCGTCTGCATGTGCGCGGGTCGTCATTTTGACCGTCTGTGCATGCACGAGCGGCGAAACCTGGAAGTAACTCGCTCTGTTACTTCCAGGTCGCTGCAGCGCACAACCCAAAAATACTCATCCTGAAGCTACTTTAACCCGAGGTATGACTGTACGGAGATTGCTGTTGTGCTTGCATCCTTCTTGCATTAAATAAGTTGGAGTTCTTGTTATTAAATATACCAAGAAAATAGCACACCAAGAACTCAGGCCAAAGTTTCAATAGTGGGAGTGGTCCCTACTCGCAAATCAGTAATAATAATAATAATAAATTTTATTTATATCCCGCCCTCCCCAGCCGAAGCCGGGCTCAGGGTGGCTAGCAACAATAAAACAGTACAAAAGTACAGCACAAACAACACTCTAAAATCATTCATTATAAAATTAATTAATTCAAGCCACTGGCAACCATTGGGCCAGAGCTCCGCGAAGATTGCCGAGGAGGGAGTCAGGCTGTGCCCTGGCCAAAGGCCTGGTGGAACAGCTCTGTCTTGCAGGCCCTGCGGAAAGATGTCAAGTCCCGCAGGGCCCTGGTGTCTTGTGACAGAGTGTTCCACCAGATAGGAGCCACGGCCGAAAAAGCCCTGGCTCTAGTTGAGGCCAGCCTAACTTCTCTGTGGCCTGGGACCTTCTCTGTGGCCTGGGACTGTTTTTATTTGAAGACCGTAAGTTTCTCTGTGGGGCATACCAGGAGAGGCGGTCCCGTAGGTACGAGGGTCCTAGGCCGTATAGGGCTTTAAAGGTTAAAACCAGCACCTTAAACCTGATCCTGTACTCCACCGGGAGCCAGTGCAGCTGGTATAGCACCGGGTGAATGTGATCTCGCAGCGAAGACCCCGTAAGGAGTCTCGCTGCAGCATTCTGCACCCGCTGGAGTTTCTGGGTCAGTCTCAAGGGCAGCCCCACGTAGAGCGAGTTACAATAATCCAGTCTGGAGGTGACCGTCGCGTGGATCACAGTGGCTAGGTCAGGGTGAGAGAGGTAAGGAGCCAACTGCTTAGCTTGGCGGAGATGGAAAAATGCTGCCTTTGTTGTAGCTGCAATCTGCGCCTCCATGGAAAGGGAGGTGTCGAAGATTACACCCAAACTCTTAACGGACGGTGCTGGCACTAATTGCGCCCCCACAAGAGATGGGAGTTGCCCCCCCAATCCCATATTGTCCTGTCCCAGCCACAGGACCTCTGTCTTCGAAGGATTTAGCTTCAACCGGCTCCCACGTAACCATCCAGCCACAGCTTCCAAACATCTGGTCAGTGTGTCTGGGGCCGAGTCAGGATGGCCATCCATCAACAGGTAGAGTTGGGTGTCATCGGCAATTTTAACAAAGACTGATCCATTCAAAAGTATGTACAATTCTTGTCAGAATGCATACTTTTGAATGAGTCAGTCTTTGTTAAAATTGACTATTGATTTGCAAGTAGGGACCACTCCCACTTTTGAAACTTTGGCCTGAGTTCTTGGTGTGCTTTTTTTCTTGCATCATTCTTGCAGGCTTCCCTTTAAGTTTAGGGCATCCGCTTGGCCTCTATGAGAACAGGCTGTTCTTACTTTCTTAGATCTGCCCAGAATTTGGCAGATACTGAATTCAACGGGTCTTTCTCCCATGTGAGTGGGTTGTATAGAGTACCGCAGCCCACATACCGTGCAAAATATTATCAGAAGAGACTTTCTGTTCACTCGCCCAACCCAATGTTTGGGAAGCGAGCTTTCCTGAGAAACAAATGGATTTTCTTCTAACCTAAGAAGCAGCTATAGGCCAGCCTCCCAGAGAGACCCCCATTATCCCTGATACCATCTGGGTTGGGAAGATTAGG